GAGTGCTGCCCTTCGGCATCAACCTGTGTGTGCATGTACTGGAAAATTTATGTGCGTTGACAAGTTGAGCACGCACACATACCCACACACACACACACACACGCACGCACAGAGTTAACATTGCTGTGGCAAGAGTCCTGGACGTGCGCCACCTTTAAGGTGTGGGAGCTGCCCCGCCTGGTAGCTGGCTGCTTTCTGCTTGACTGCCGGCTGATTTTTCAATGTGCCGCGCCTAATCATGGCAACAAAAGGACACGCCCCAACAACACCAGCCACAGCAACGGCAACAACAACTGCAACGGAAAATGGCAGCCGCAAGGACAGCAGCAAATTGAAACGGAAGTTTTCTGACAAATAATTTCCCCATACATACATATTTGAAGGAAAGCCATGTGAGAGCGGCGCAATCGGAAGTGCCCGACTAGTAGATACCCGGCATACGACTTCAGCGGAATTCCTGCCTAGACGGACCCACTGTTTGGCCACGCACTGTCGGATAGGAGAGGCCAAGGCAGTAGTGCTAAAGAGAAAATGGATACATACATATGTATGTATGTAAGTATATAAGTCCTGAACGTACCCAAACTCTATAGCCGGCTAATCTCAGCGAATCTGCTGCTCCTTGTGAGAGTGGTACAATCAGAAGTATCCGACTAGTAGATACCCGGCATATTGGATTCCTGCCCAGATAGGCTTACTTTATGTGAATGCATTCACATCGGTTTGTATTCTCATCTGGCAGAGGTTGCCAAGGTAGCGCTAAAGAGAGAAAATATTATTAAGTAAATACACACATGTATGTATGTATGTATGTTTTTATATACTTAGCTAACTCAAACCTAGGGATTTGGAATATATACTCGTGAGTACCATGCCTCCACTAGGGGCGTGGCAAGTTGAGAAACAGATCATGATCTTACTTAAACCATCTAAAGAAATCTGCAGTTCTCTCTCGTCTCAGCTTCTTCTTCTTCTATTGATGGCATTTTCGCTTTTTCTTTACCGATACCAAGCTCAACTATCGATAGCATTAAAGGCATATATATCGATAGTAGGTCATAAAGCTCCCTAAAATTCGTATTGGCGTACTATATACATACATACATACATTGCAAAATAACTGGAAATTCCTTCTTTTTTTTTAAGTGTGCCAATAATCGTTGCGAATAATTTCAGAATGCCTATGGCGACTCTGCTCCATCGAAAACCAAGCTGACGATTGATACAAGGCCCTTAAAGAGCGTCGGAAAATCGTCGAAGACTTGCCTCTTTTCGGGCAACCTCCGATCTGACGAATTCATAAATGTCGACTACATAAAAAGGTATATGTAGAAATCGTGCTCGAAAATCGTCATGCTGGACATTGGCCGAGAGCAAGCTTGCTTGATTTATGGGGATCAATTGGGCATGAGACACATTGTGGAAGATTACCAAAAATGCGCTGATTTGTATTGACCAGCTTCTGTATTCGCCTGATTTGACTTTGTCACACTTTTTCCAGTTTCCAGAGCCAAAATGGCGCACATTTTGCATCGGTGGAGGACATAAAACAAGATTCGAAACGTGTGCTGTTGACTGAGGTCTATAAGAAGGCCTTCAATGACTGGATGACATATTTGGGATCGTTCACAATGGGGAATATTTACAGGAGGATTCAAGACATATTGATGAAGAATAAGAAATTTGCATATTTTTAGCTTGTTTCCAGTCTCACTTGATGCAGGTTGCTTTAGAAATATGAATGAGTATTATGTAGTCGGTAGTGCCCGTTCTTACTTGTCATTATAAGACCTGCTGTGTGCAGGTATATGACAAGCTGTCATATGTCAGGTGCAGCATGCATATTGCAAAAAGGAATATCTTCGGTTTTCAGGGCCTGCCGGCATTTCCACTGCATTCGACATTTTGCAAACGCTCCACACTATAAAAAAAATACCTTTCTGTTGCTTGGCTAGAAGCATCCGTAGCCATTCTCTTTAGTCTGCTCTTGAGCTGAGCCATTTCACACAGCTTATTGCCAGTCCATAGAAGCTAAGCTAATTATTATGGAATTAGCTCTGTGCAAGCGTTTAGTTTGCATACTCTGCAATGGCTGGCTGAGCCGAGGCTCAACAGGTCAGCCGTGCCGGCAGCAGTCGGTGTCGTATACGTAATGCTGCCATCTCAATGGAGCTTGGCTCTGCTGCTCATCCATGACACAACAGCAATAGCAACAACAACAGCAACAACAACAACAACAACAGCAGCAGCAAACACAACCAACACAACGGCTGCATCTCGACGCAGAACTTTGTCAGTTATATGACATCACCGGGGCCGCATTGTGTGGCGCCACAGGCCAGAGGCGACTGAGTTCAGTGAGGCGGGAGGGGCGTGACTTCAGCTGAGCTGCACGCTTGTTATTTCCGCTAGCCACTTACATGGATATTATTACAGTTGCAGGCCCGGCAACAGAGTGCGCGGTGCGGCCAGAGGGTTAACTGTCTGCAACTGATGGCAAGCATTCTACTTAGTTTCTATTGGCGTCCTGGTTTGTCCTGGCGTCTCCTGCTCGTCCTGCTCGTCCTGCCGCTGCTCCTCGTGGACAGTTCCACATGGCGGCGCTCGTTTAGTTTTGCCGTTTGACTTGCAACTAAACGCACTAGAGTGCCGCAAACTTTTCCAATATATGTACATGCATACAATATATATACCACGCCCACTGCGTGGGCGGGACAGAATAATTACCCAAAGCCGCTCTACCGAAGGTGCTTGCAGTTAACGGTAAATGGCTCAGCATATGCGTGCGGCTGTTACCCTGCTCTACGCGTAATTACCGTTAATTTGCCTTGCATCCCTCAACCCACAATTCGAGCGCCTCTCAGCGCTCAACAGCTAGCGAAAATGCTCAGGTGTAAACAGAGCCGGCAGCGCTTGATTGAACTGCGATTGACTCTCCACATAAATTATGGAAAAGGTTTTCAGCCCTGTTAACCCCAAATGGTTGGAGTCGATAGCCATCCAATGTCAACTGCCATTAATAATGCACAGCGAATCGAGCAGTACAATATGACCCTTACGACACCAAATGGAACCCCCAGCTACCTTTCATTATGAGTCGAACCAGTCGAGGGTTTTGGGTCCATTCGTACTGGAGCTAACCCATCATCTGCCTTCAAATGTTTTCGACCTTTGCTTCTTCTCGCGTTACTCTTTCAAGAATTCACCAGTCACATTTATGTAATGCTTGCTGTAAAGTACATAAACATTATTAACTTTATTAACATATCACATTTTGTCACCTTTAGAAGCTAACGTCTCACTCAAACCCAGGCTTAGATTGTCGAGCTACCTCAACCAGAAGATCTGATGGCACCCATACTAGAATTTGAAGTAGATCCAGACGCCGCTATCTTGAAGACCTGCTAGATCGGTTCTTTACTTTTATTGGTTTGTAAGCAAATTCAAGAAAATGGATAGAGCATATACCTTATATTACCTTTTGGTACACTCGAGGTTCAGCTCTTGAATTCTTTAAAGTAGAGAGCTGCAAACCCATTGATAATAGCTACTCAATCGATGATTTCAAGCTCAAGCTCTACTGCTTCAGGAAGAGAGCCGATATATCAGTATCGATCTATCGTTAAAATGAATGATCATCGATACTGGCCCTAGCAGCTCTATAACTAGCTGAGCAATTGCCTCCTCAAAGAGAACATAATATGCCCGGCAGTTAAATTCCGCCAATAGTAGGTAGGACTTATCGACTTGCTCATTTGTAATCGAGTGCAAAATATAAACACTGGGAATTCGATTAAAAGTGCCTGCATATCCAAGTGCATGCGCATGTTGCATGCTAAGAACTGAAGGCGCACAAATGGCGCTCTATAAACGAATTATCAGACTCTCTGACAGCATTCAGGCTGCCTCAGAGACGCTAACTTCATTTGCAATTAGCATGAACTGGAGCTGTCGCTGTCGCCATTAGCTGTCGTAGCTCGAAGGATTCTCAGTCGTCGCATCAATTTATGTCGTTCGGGCTGGACAATGGGGAGGAAGTGCAGCGCATTGAAATCGACATGGGAACATTGTGAGGCAATTAACTATGCGAATGGGATTGCAATTGAATCGTTGAATGCGAGTCTCGGACCGAGACTCTCGGTGACAGCTGATGGACGAGGCTGTTGCATGGACCGAAACTTTTTCAGGCCCACAGACAGACAGACACATCCACAGCCACAGTCAAACATCGTAAAAATAGTTTCGAGCTATTGGCTCTGTCGCCATGGCAAAGCAGATACGTTTCCAGTGGTTTTTATGCAAAAACTTTTTGTGAATCGTTGACGGGGGCTGAAGGGGCTGGGCGATGCTCGAGTTTGGTGACTCACCCACTAGTTCATAGCTCTGAAACGATGATTCCTAATAGCTTGTAATTTTGGTAAGCAAACACACTCAGGATCCCAGCAAAAGTTTTGCCCAAACTTGAAAATTTGACAGCCCCACACGCATAGAGAATGCCACATCTTCAACCCGGAAGTATAACTTTTGCTCTCACTTTCAGAGCATGCAAAAAAGTTGCACAAAGCAAGCGCCTCTTAATTATACCTGAATGACTTTGGGTATTCCATATCATATCTTATAAATATACTCCCGAAATACTTCTTTTAAAACTCCGCAAAGTTGTGGCACTTCAATGAAGACTTTGAGACTCTAGCGATAACTATATCTAGATATAGTTCAACAACTGTAAGCGGGAATACCTATTCAACAATTTCGAGTAGCCTTGATATGTATATAAGGACCTATAGACAATATTCAAGTCTTAACTCTTATACGTTCTCAGATCGACAGTTGATACATACGAACCGGCCTGGATCGACTCAGCTAATCAACCCGATCTCCTCATGTCTGGTCTGGCACACCGAAACCAGCATACACAGAATCAAGTTTTTAGTTTTTGAAACGAGCAGAGATATAGAGACCTATAGATCGCGCATTTTATATACGTTTATTAAATTTGTCCGCTCAAGACTTAAATTAAAATGGATAACAAAAATGTTGTTTTCAGGTTTTGATCAAGAGACATAAGACTAACTTATTTCTCGATTCCCTACAGCTGAGGTGCTATTTCTCGATTTCCTACAGTTGAGGTCCTGCGTTTTGATGTTATCTACTTAGAAATGAATTTTGGTGAGCGATGTCCATGCTCTGGTTGGCTGTTGTCCTGCTCCACGTATCGAAGATGGAGAGATTAATTGGCTGATGAATGATTCGATTTGCATTCCGTTGCGTTGTGTGGATTCAGATTTGAATTCGCTGTTCTGTTCTGTTCAGGTGGGCCCAGGTGTACGGGCGGGCCGCAGATACTCAATTAAACAGAAATTCAATGCACGTTTTACGCGGGGTCACGTGGGTTTCATTGGTTGCCTGTCAAAAAGGAATCACTGAAATTAAAAAGTCGAAGAGAAACAGAAGTGGAGAGAAACACCTGTAGAGTCCTAGGCAGGTGCAAAATCCTTGAGAGTGGATGAGCAAAACAAAAATGACAGCGCCAGATGCATGCTGAGGGATAGAAGTAGTTGTTAGACCTTCTCTTCAATCTCGATTCTCTCCATTCACTTACGTGTGTTAGATCTAAATCTAATATTTTTGCTTGTTATGAAATGTATATAGGAAAACTCCTATTATGGAAAGTGTTGTGTTTGATGTAAAGCCTGTAAGCAAGCACGACGATGGATTAATACGAATTATCTATAATCAGCTGTCAAATCACTTACCTGATATACCTATTTTAAAGAGAAATGGAATGGGATTTTGGATTTGATTTTGCAGCCTTATCCAATCTATGAATTGGCAAGGAAATATGAGGAAATTCGTATACCTAAACGGTGGGGAAATTAGCCTGAGGGGACAAATAAAAGAGCATTATTAAAATTGCAATAATTGGATGTGTTACAGCCGGGCATGCCCAACTAGATAATACGCTGTAAAAGTAGATAGATGATATTTTATGAATTCCAACTGATTTCATTACATACATATATACCTAAATGCCGTATACTTACAGGACAGCTATACATATATATATGTATTTGTATACGGATGCACTCTGCCTGCTAGGAATATGCTATACGCATATGAGTCTAATGGGATATTCAAGAAGTGAATTATTCCTCTCACTTATGGGTAGTCTCTTCACCCTTAAGCATACCACTTGGGCTCAACTAGCTCATGGTTTATACATGAATATGAATCTTTAGCTAGCTGATCAGAAATAAATATGTTTCATAGATTACCTTACACAGAAATGAATGAATATTCTACATTTTCACTACCGGAATACCGGCTCAGAGACATTGTGAATACTTTCGTCATTAATGTACGTATGTACGTCTATATACATGTATATATTCTGATAGGATCTTCGCCCATTTGAAACGGTCATCACATAGGTATGGCAAGAATTCGAATGAACGGACATAACCAAGCAATTTGGCTCATGGCTATGCTACTACTATCTCAGCTTGAATGACATAGATTCAAGCTACCACTAGCAGAACTACTTCCCCCTCCTTCCACCATTCTTAAATATGCAACTTCGATTGAACTTACTTGTGTTTGTTGGATGATTGGTGAAACTATATGTGCAACGATCGAGGTGCGCATACCTCGGCCTGTGATGTACAAGTTGAGACTGAGATGCATGAACCCACTTCAGATCAGTTGAAACTTACCGTGGCAGTGTAGTTTTTGCGGTAGTGTCTGTAGTGGTGTGTCAGGCTTTAGGCTTTAGATGTTTAGTGAAAGACGTGGGCGTGGGCGTGGCGAATATTCAGACGGTAAGGTCCATTGGTGTGAATGAGCTGTTGGAATGCCTCCTCATGGATCCCCTCGCGCTCTTCCACTTCGTCGTACTCATCCTCTGGGCAGTCTTCGGAGGAAACATAGTTAGCGAGAGTCTTGCACAAAACGAAGAGCATCAAAAGTATTTTGATGATGCACAGTGATTGGTGACGCAAGAACACGACGACCGACGGGTAGTTGTTGTAAAAGGAATACATGAATTCGGTTTCGAAAAATGCGTTCAAATAGCCCTCAACAAATTCCCAGAATGGATGCCACACGTAAAATATCATGCCTTGGCCAACCAAGTAGTAAACACCAATTGCGATCAAAAATATCCATAGTCGATTGAAGATACGAAAGCTGGCACGAAGTCTATCAGTCATAAATACTACCCAGGCCAAGAACATGGCGGCAGAAAACTCCAGGCGGTATTCGGAGGTGATCAGGTTCATTTCACCCACATACAGGCTCACGCACAGTGCCACCGATAGCGATGCCGTAACGGGTATATCCAATTCCATAGCTAAAGTATATTTTGTTTGGGTTCAGATATAAAAAAAAAAAAAAACAACAACAAAATTAATAAATAAATATAAAATGTATACAAAATAAAATACTACTGCTTCCTGCAACTAAAATGACTGAGCTGAGCTACACCCAGTTGCCACCTCGACCGAAGCCTACTACTATATTATATGTATATTTTCCAGTTGCACCAACTAAATGTTTACAAAGAGAGTGAGACACAAGAGTTGGCCAGCGACAAGGATGGCTTAGGCTAGCTTAGACTGTTGTGATCTATTCATCATATATACAGGGTAGAGTCCTTGACAGCAACTAGCATATGAGATGATAGGGCATAATAAGTAAAGGGCCTTCGACTGAGAAGGGCTGAGCAGGAGAAGGAGAGATCAATCTGAGCATTCCATTCCATTCCAATGATATATAAGAGATAGATTTCTTGACTGCAACTAGTATATGAGATGATAGGGCATAATAAGTAAAGGGCCTTCAACTGAGAAGGGCTGAGCAGGAGAAGGAGAGATCAATCTGAGCATTCCATTCCATTCCAATGATATATAAGAGATAGATTTCTTGACTGCAACTAGTATATGAGATGATAGGGCATAATAAGTAAAGGGCCTTCAACTGAGAAGGGCTGAGCAGGAGAAGGAGAGATCAATCAGTCTGAGCACACAAATCACAAGGTCACACACACACACACACACACACTCACGGGCACTAGGCACTGCTACCTTCCAGCTAGCTGGGCAGCCTGTGCGATAAGGCGGGTCTCTATCAGCTCGGGTCGACTTTGAGGCACGACTTAGCACACACGCAGCAGCAGCAGCAGCAGCAGGAGAGCAGACAGCCAAGCAAGGCATTCCTGCTCAGCCAGGCTTTGCCCGGCGCTCACGTAGTCAGCGAATCGAATTTTAATTTCTGGCCCGGATGGCCCTGTCTGCCGTCGGTTGCCTTTGTGCGGGCCCGAGATTGAAGTTAAAGTTGCGCTAAAAACTTTTGACTGTTTGCCGGCAAAAGTGACTTGTCGTGGGTACGTTGCCACAGAGCCCGGCCACAGTGAATGAGGTTTCCCCATGGCAGCACAAAGCTGGCTCGAATAGTTTGCAAGGCAAGTTCGAAAATGGAACGCAATACGCCAATATACGATGCTATATATAGATGTACATATACATACATATATATCTTCGTATTCTTGCCGGTGTTTACAAAGGGACGAACTTTAAAGTCACAATAGCTAGTGGCCTTTGAAAGGAGCGTAGAAACTGTGAATTTTACAGTTCGCGACGAATGCCTTGAAAATAAAAGTGTTATAAATTTTAATTAAATTGTAAAGAAAAGTTATAACTCACGGTTCATGTGATACATAATGAGAATCTATAGATTAAAGCTTTAAAAACAAACAAAAACTATCAAGATAAAGCTTTAGTCCAGAGCAGTTAAAACTTTAGATAGAATCGACAACTTTGAATAAGAATTCTCTTAAGAAAATCCTAACCACAAAATCATCGATAGAAGTGTGCATATGATTGCAAATATCGGTTGAAGAATAATCGAAACGAGCGATAGTTTTGCAGCTCTGCTTCGCTCATCTCCGAGCAAAATTAAATGCCTCGTTGTGAAAACCCACTCATATGAACAATGGGATAATAGAAAACTAATAAAATGTGCCCCATATTCAGAAGCCATAATCAAATTGACTCCAACACTAGCCAACATAGTTCGGGCTGTGACGTCACTGCTGCTGCTGCAAGCGTTGAGCTTTATTGACGCTTTACGCGTAGAGCCGCAATTAGTAAAAGTGCTTAGCAAATTTAGCTCGCCTTTAGTCGAGCGTGGCCCACTGTGCGCGAGGCGAACTCATTATTGAGCACTCAGCGGCGGCCATTGAGAGTGCGTGCGTGTGTTTTTATTTGAGCATTACTTGTACCAATTAGGAAATTACTAGAGTAAATAGCCTCACACACACACACGCACGCACAATACAAACATAACAAGGTTCGCCCATGTCCAGCCGTTAGGAGTTTAAACAACAGTGGGCAACGATCATTTATCAAACTCCTGCGGGCAGGCAGCCACATGGCTAGCTCCTAAATACACAAGACAGAAGCTGGCCGGCAAGGCAAGTGCAAACTTTTGAAGTTTTTCAACAACTTTGTCAAACAAGAAACGAAATCATAAATTTAGCGGGCATTGAGCGGCTTGAGCGAATGATGGATAAAGCGACGAACGAAGATGAACTTTTTAAGCGAGATTTTACGATAGTTTGCCAAATAGCTCAGATATTTATGTTCTATGGCAAATATATTCAAAAGTATACCTTAAAGATGCACTAAAAAGAAAGAGACTTGAAGAAGGCAGCATAAAATGAGAGAAAATGTGATACATATGCATATACTTATATGTATAAGTATATATACTAAAATAAAAAAAGTTCTTTTAAGACAAGAGCAGATTTTTAATAATATGAAACTGGTCATAAAGAAGGAAAGAGCAGTGCATTGAACTGCGAATATTCATGACTCAGCTATTTGCCTAAAGCAAATACATACACATGTACATGTGAAAACCCCATCAGAAATTATGCTGCCTACGCCTATGGCGGCCTTTCGTCAGCCAAAAGTCACATAACAAAACAAAAGCATTTGGCTAATGTGCACTGATTTGCACAAATATTTAATGAATGAAGTAATTTCATTAAGCTAGATTACACGGCATTTCGATGCTGGGTCGCGCCTGATTAATTCACTTTAAATTCAGTGCGAAGTTATTTCGCCGAACTGTAATTAAAAGTAAATTTGTATTAATGTCTGCCAGGCGCTTGCCGTAGCCTCACCACGTGTACTTTAACGAAAGCCAAAAGCCGAAGACGAAAGCCGAGTGCCGAGTGCCCGGTGTCGGGTGCCCGGTGTCGGGTTTCGGGCTTTGTCAACATTTTAATCAAATATGTGTCAGCGCGGACTTATGAAACTAATTGACTTTAACGCTAGCGGCTTCCCCGCCCCACCCCGCCGCGGATTTGTATCTCCTACGGAACTGTATAGTAAGTAGCCCGGCCTCAGTTCGGTTACAGCGTCGCTTCAAGAGGAATTAATTAAAAAACTTAATCTGCTTTGGCAGCTGGGCGGGCTGTGTACAGAGGGCATGGTGGTTTCGGTGGTTTCGGTGGTTTTCACTCGCAGCCTGCCAACCGCTTGACAACGATTTACTTAAGGTCTACTTAGCAAACTGAAATCCCATTATAAGCTGCTCACATTTGACGGCACGGTAAGGCAAGGTAAAAAAAAAAAAAAAGAAGAAGAAGAAAAAAAAGCGACCACGTGTCTGCAGTCGGAGAAAAAATTCCCAAAATCAGTTAAACTCGACGGCTTGCCGACATCAAATTCATATTGCGCGAAATAATCGAAAAAGGAATGATCTCTTACCTATTATAATGTCCAATTGAATGCAGCAAAATTATTTTAATAATTATTATTTCTTGACAATGTGCTTTAGTTCAGATTGAAAAGTTTTCACACTCTCTCTTACACATCCACTGGATGACTGAAAAATATATATATCTCACTCCTTAAGTGCTGTGCAATGCCTTCTAGATTCGATCATTTTCCAGCACCTCTAATAAGCATTCGCCCCGAATTAACATTTGCTGGAATTAACATTCTGCTTAAAAGCATTAACATTATTAATATTTTCGCATTTAACTTTAAAGATATCAAATCTATTAAACTTAAATGTATTGGGACTTACTGTATTGGGACTGGAGATATTAAAAAAAACTTAAATATTAATTTGACGCTGATAAAGCTTAGCTACTTAAAAGCTGTTCCATTAACTATTTAGCTTTTTTTTTTATTTATTTATTATTATTTTGGCCACAAT